AATAAGATTTTACCAACATATTGGAGAAACTTATAATTTTAAATAAAAATCAATTTTGAAAAAACAAAAAAAATAGTTTTTTTTTCTAAAATCCTACCAACATATTGGAGGATAATTTTTAACAAAAATATTACCAACATATTGAAAGATATTTCTGACAATAAACTGTGTTTATAGAAAATTATTATCACAAGTAAAATTAAACGAATTTGACTACATAACCTTTTCAAAGCGTAACAAATAGTCTTCTTAAATACTTTTAAGGTGACAAAATATTTTTAAATCATTATCAACATATTGGAGTAATTTAAGAAAAATTTTCAATATTAAAATTATTTGGTAAATTATAAATATGCATTAAAACTGGATAACTTGAAATCAAACTAATACTATCTTTTAGATGGCTACTGTGAAAGTGCTATAACTTTTCTCACGCAGAACTATACTCTCAAACTTAAAATTTCATTTTGTGAACTAAATTTATCATTTAAAGATACCTAAGTTACGCTTGGGACTTCTCTTTAAAATAAAACAAATTCAGTAAATGATCAATCGCACCTAAACAAAAAATATTAGTAACGATTCTTAAAGTCAATATCTAGTGATAGATCAATAATTTATATGTTATAACACTTTTCAATCATTGCGGGTTGAGTAATATATACGTAGCATAGAATCAAGTTTATAGATTTTTATTGTTGAAAAAAACATTGATTTTATGCTGTTGACATTTTCCCCATAATTTTATGTTCAAGAATTTTATGATCTATTTGGTATTACAAACATATATTTGTAATAGTTATGTCAAGCTTTTTTTTTTTCCTTTTTATATATATTTTTTATTATTACAATATATATTAGATAATAAAATGACAATCTGCAGTAATGTGCGAGTTGCTATCTTATTTATATTAAATTAGCATAATTTTTTTACCATAAAATTAGCATGATTTAAGGTGTATTTGATTTTGTATGAACATTTAATATTTTCTAAAATAAATAAACTCATAGTAGGTAAAATTATTATATATTTGGAAGACAACATATGTAATTAATTTAGTGAAATTTAGTCAAATAAATTAATTTATAGGACACATGGCATTAATTTAGATTTTCAAAGTGTAAAAAAATTAGACCACACACATAAGATAATTGTCTTTTTTATCAAAGATTTTAACTTTTATGTATTTATATAAGATAAAAGATAAATTAATTTAAGGAACACATAACATTAATTTAGATTATCGGAGTGTAAAAAAATTAGACCATACACATAAGATAATTGCCTTTTTTTCTAAAAAGCTTTAGTTTTTATATATTTATATAAGATGAAAGTTTCAAGCTTTCATCATTCTTTTACCATTTCTATTAAAATTTTACACATACAAAATTATTAGAAAGCAAAAGAAAAGAATAGATTTTATGTTTTTTTTTTCTAAAAAAAAGAAGAAAAAGAAAAAAGAATGGTAGGCAAAAGCTACAAACTTTCAATATTTATAATATTAATTAAGAGAAAAATTAATTCATAACTTAAATATGGATATTTAGTGTATGTTGACATAAAAAGAAAATAAATATTTGCAATTTAGTTAATTTCAATTTTTGTTTAGAATTTTGAAATATAATTAATGATATATGAGCTATCCAAAGAAAAAATATATTATTTATATAAGAAAATTTCTTTTTTTATTGGAGATTTTATTATTTATATATTTATATTAAATTAGCATAATTTTTTTACCATCAAATTAGCTTGATTTGACGTGGATTTTATTTTACCTAAACTTTTAATATTTTTTAAAAATAAACAAAGTCATATTAAGTAAAATTATTATATATTTGAAAGACAGTAGATATAATTAATTCAATGAAATTAGACCGTACACATATTATGATTGCTTTTTTAAAAAAAAATTATCTTTTTTATATATTTATATAAGATAAATGAAAGCATTTTAAGATTTTTAATCCAAATATGAATTGGACGGGGCCATGCCTGGCATCGGTAAAACCTATGGGCTATATAGAGCAAAATACGATACAGCTCCTTTTGTAATTGGGTGTCGAGTTTTTGGGTTTCGGTGTCCTCTTTTTCCTTTTGAGCCAAATTCTTTTGTTATATTCTCAGTATGCATTGGGGCTAGAATTTTAGGAATATTAATGGAGTTGTAAGTTATTCCTTCAATTCTTGTTATCTCTTTATTTATCTTTTTCTTATCAACTGTTTCTTGATCCATTTTGATCTTTGAATTTTATTAACAAAATTTGGGAATTTTTTTGTTTAAAAAAGAGGAAAGAGGGGAAAGCCAACATCAATGCGCAAGTTAGGGATAAAATGTTTTAACAAATACTTAACAAATGTATTTAACAAAAGAATTACAAGAAGAAGAACAAAAATCAAATGCAAAAGAAAAGTGGCAGATGTGCTCAAGATGTTGCAATCAGATTCCTCAATCATCAATCAAGCACTTTATTAATTGGAAGAAATGTGGGCAAATGGGCTTCTCCTCCACCGTCCTCGGTTTTCTCCGCTTTGTTTTCTTCACCAACTTTCACCATTTCTTCTTGTTTTCATCACTACTGTTTCTTACTTCACCTTCAAAGTGCTGAAAGAGGTTGGATAGAATATTGTTGATGAGCCTTTCTCCTCCTCAAAGGCGGACCGTAGTGGAACCTTGAGCGGCCAAACTTTTGAAAACCTTTTGATAATATGTATATTTATGCTATATAAATTTAAACTGGTTCCCTCAAATTAAAAAAAATATTAATATTATATATTTTTTATAATTTTATAACTTAATTTTATGTATTGCAATTTAAAAAGAATTAAAATTATATTATTATTTATCTATTTATAATACCACTCATCATTATTTAAAAATCTTTAAATAAAGAATTTTGTTATAAAATTTAAATCATAATCATATAATTTTAATAAAAACTAAATTAACTTTCTTGGTTTTTTAATACTGTCATCTCCAATCAAGTATTAAATGTATATTTGGTTTGTCAATGATTAATCTTATTTACTAGAACTAAGAGTCAATAATCTATCAATATACGGCATCATCATTGATTTTTTTTTTTCTTTTTAGCTAATTACAATTTTTTCTATCCAGATTATATTATATTTTTAATTATTCTAAATTTCTATCTCATGTTATCTTACAATATTTTTTAACACCAAAATTATATTAGAACCACTTTAAAAAGTTAGAAAAATACTATAAATTTTTAACCTCAAAATTTTCAACTTAATTTTTAAATGTATTTATTTTTTTTGTTTTGATAAAAAATATTTTTTTAACAATCGAATTATGCCTATAAAAATGATTGATTTATGCATTTTTATTTCATATTTAAACTATTAAAAGAATAAAGAAAGATCCTATGCTTTTATTGAAATTGTGTAATTAGTAACTTTATTGTTAATTTAAAATTTATATTATTATTAAACATTTAATGTTGTCATAATAATATCTTTTTATAATTTTATAAGCTTATTATTTTTATTAAAATAGTTTTACATATTTATATATTTATATATATTTATATTAATAAATATGATAAAATACATCTTATAAAAAATAAATTAAAGTATATTATTAATTGGTCCTCAAAATTAATTTCAAGAGTCGCCTCTGCTCCTCCTCCACCACCTACTTCTTCCTCTGACCTGGGACCTGATTCATTTTCACTTTTAGCATCAAAAGCTTTAACTTTTCCTTAGTGATGTATCCAGTTTTTGGACTTAAAGGATGGAGTGACCGAGTTTGAAATAATATGATCTAAAAGCCCGTGCCACCTCCCTTCTCTTCATTTTTTCCACCTTCGGGGATTGTCTCTTCTCAGCTCGTTTATCTTCTTGTTCCTCATCAGCATCTCCTCCAGTAACCAAGTTCGAGATGAGATGGGTTAATGTATCCACTAGCTCTCTGTCCACTTCAGGATTTTGTCTTTCTTCAATAACTTCATCTCCACTGAGATTTATTGGATACAACAAGCTTTCAGCTTCAGGCACAACATCTTCCATCTTATTTTGGTGGTTTTGTCCGATTTCCGTTCGTCAATAGGATTTGATAATGGAAGGGTAAGGAGTTTAATCATAGATAAGAATGTAATAAATTGTTTGAGTTGATATAATATAAATTTAAGTTTGAGTTTAACTCTAAATTTAATATTCAAAATTTGATTGAAATTCGATAAAATCTTTTTTTAACTCGAATTCGATTTGAAATAAAAATCGAACTACTTAAATTTATTTGATTAAATTTGATTAATATGTACAAATAAATTTAATTTTTATATTCGATAAAAATTTAATTATTTGTGTTCGAATTTGAGATATTTATCAATTAAAATAATTAAAATATATTAAAATATAAAAAACTTGATTAAACTTATGAATTATTCGAATTGGATATAAATATATTTAAATTTAATTTAATTAATAAATCAATTTATATAAATTTAAATTCGATTCAATAATAATTAAATATAATTTAAATTTTATTCAAGTTAAATTTAAATAACTTTTGAATATCAATATATGAAAAAGCAAAGTGCAGAATCGTCAACCGGCCAACAACAGTTGGACATATGTCGCCTTGCTGGAGCCTTTTCAAATCGTTTTATGATTTCCATACAAGGTCGGTGGACAACCGCCTATGAGAAATAGTGAATGTTTATGGATAAAACGTTTTTTTTTTTTTTTTAAAGAAAAAAGAAAAAAAACCCTTAGTAAGAAACTCAAACTGGTTTCAGAAAAATAATTGCTAAACAAGAGAATGCTTTTGCAGGAGCCGGGTGAAATTAGAAGTTTTCTTTTTCTGCTGAAAATCATTAGCTTTCACAGTACCAATGGAAGAAAGAAAAACTCCACCAGTCATCGGCCTAACACTTAAGTACGAGAAATTCATTGTCTTTCCACTATCCTCTTCAGTTGATCGGGAAAAGGAGACAAGAAATATGGCATTACCCCCACGAAGGTCAGTCTAAAATGAAGCAGACATGCTCAAACAAGACTTTCATTAATCAGTATTGGTGGCATCAATTCATTAAGTGTATCACGTACAGAGTTCAACATTGATCACCATTTACCATTTAAGAAAAAACACTGCCTACCCTTTTCACAAGAATCAAAAACCATCTCGTTTCAAAGATGTATGATCAATGGCGTTTGGCTGCCTCCTTAGCTTTCCTATATGCTTCCCTTTCTTCCTTCCTTCTAGCATTCCTTGCATCAGCATCAGCCTCTACCTTCTTCATTATTGCCTTGAAACCAGGTATTGTCCTTTCCAGTTTTTTGTAGAGTGCGCGGCTAACGGAGTGAAAGACTTGAAGCGTTTGCTGCAGAGTGTCAAAGCACAGATTATAAATAAGATCTTGTGGGACTACTGACTCATTCTTGATAATAAGGCTTCACATTGAATATCATTGAAACAGTTTGAAAGCTACTACAACTGTTAGTCAGCTAGGCAAAGATATTGAAAATCATTGAAATATGTTATTTCAACCAAAATGGAAATTTAACAATTCCTTGGATAGTCATGCCCGCACACACCCACAAAAGAACTAAGACACATGGAAGGAAAGCAGGGACAGATGTTTTTGTTATCAAACTTGCAACTTGACTAATATCATACATGGAAGAGGTTACACCCTACCTGGACATCCCTATTCCATTCTGCGATGTAAGGAGGACCTGTTGTGTAGCTACCAAGAGGTTCACGGTACCACTTTCCACCATATGTAATCTCATCCATTGCTTGCTCAACACTTAAAACTTCCCACGGCCTTAATCCAGGGATAACTTTGGCCAATTTGCGCCTGCCTCACAGAAGCAACTAAAATATTTAACATTTTCAGATATGTAAAACCATTTTAGATAGACACTTCTGAATTCTGAAAAGATTATAACCATGAAGACAACTATGCAATTTCAGCAATATGATGTACAATTATCTTCAAACATCAAACCAAATAAAGAAGGCTAGAAGAAGAGAAGTCATACCGAAGATCTTTTGAAATGTATTTGTTTGGCATATGATCAGATTCCAAAAGAGTTGTCATTTCAGAGCCACTAGCCCAAAGAAATAGTGCATGGCTAGGAGTTCTAACTCCAGGCCATATGCCATCATTAGCTTTTAGGACTGCCAAATCACGTCTTTTGCTCTCAATAGCTTCTTCTTGAAGCTGTTTATAAGTTTTCTCCTCATGTCCTTTAAGGGGAACCCAAGGAGGTATACCTTTCTGAAGTTTATGAAGGAAAGCTGTTGCTGCCGCACCAAACCTAACTGAAGATCAATATAAGACGAGTAAATAAACCAGGACATTGAATTTGACCATCCAGAGAAAACTTCTGGATGATGGTAGACCATAGATGACCATTTAAGAAAGGGTCAGCATCACAGACAATATTTATCTAAGCAAAGTGCCGTTGAAAGTAACTTCAAGATAAAAAGAAATCATGGGTACAACAGTATAAAGAAGGCTTTGGCTCTCAATTTCCAACGATTGAAAGAGCTGGTCTGAAAGTTTTGAATCTTTTATTTACTAAAGCATGTCTAAAAGAAATTCACTGTTTAAATTCATAAAAAAAGCAGACAATAAAAAAATTTTGCCAGCAAGAGTATTTCATCACAATATTATATTACTAAAGGCAGACGTCACCTAAACAAAAACATCAAAACATTTGAAATGAATATAATCTTGGTAAAATTGCATTCCATGCTTATTTTAATATTTTCTAAATCCACATGAAAATCACCTAACTATGTGGTCAAGATTATACACCTGAAATCTAATCCATCAACAGTTGTATTCAAGTTGGATAACTCGTACCATTTAGCACTGCATTTTGCTATTACATTCAAAGAGCACTAACAAAATACTAAATAGGTGATATGTACCAGACAATGCAGAAACCAGGAAAAAGGATTCCCAATGAATAACCTTGGCCTCCTTTTGCAACTTACGATAAATAGATGTAAATGAAAAGCATAAGAAAAGGGAGAAGAAACAAACCTTCCCAAGTGGCTATTGCAGGTTCCAAGCCATAAACCATATGAATTGGTGCCCATTCATCCATGTCCTCTCCCCAAATAAAAGTGTGTTTATCAATAATCCCAGCACCCCAAGCTGTTTTGAGGGTTATTAACTCACAAGGACCTCGGGTACGACCCAAGCGATCTTTATAGTACCAGCCTCCGCTCCTCATAATAACTGTATCAATAAATAATGACAAAATGATTGAACAGTTTTCAGAATAACAATAATCCAGACGGGGGGAAAAGAAGGTACACAGAGGCATTATATCACTCCTAAGCGTGAGCTTTGACAGTAACATAAAAAGAAATCCAAAGAACTAAAGAAGAATGAAAAACAAAAGATTGGATAATGATATGATGATCAATAACTAAACTTCGAGTTTGACCTCTGCTATTCAGCTAACGCTAGAAGTTACCAAACTCAAAAGATTCTAAAACAATTTGCAGCAGAACCAGGCAAAACAACAATGTCCACTTCAACATGGAACTTAAACCACTAAAACACATTCTCTCAAATAATATATGAACTCAGAACATGCCCCAAGAATCCATTAAAAAAAAAAAAAAAAAACAAACTTACAATCATAGTAACGCCTCTCGAGCCGCTTATACCCAATAGCCTGAGCAACATCAATGGGTCGACCTGGCGGATAAGGCCGCTGGCGGAACCCCCAGAGCCCAAGAAAAAAGTGCTTTGTGAAATCCCAAAACTTATTATCACTTTCTTCCCTGGTCTTGATAGCTTTTCTGGGCATAGGCCTCCCATCCAACCCAATCACGTGCGGAACCGCTTGCCAAAGCTTCTTATCTTCCTTTCTAAACGGTTCTTCATTTTCTTTAAGCTCTATTCTATTGATTTTATCAGCAATTTCCTCAGCTCTAGACAAAAATTGAATAACGGGACTTGTCCTGAAATCTTGCCACCATTTTTCATTCTCCTTAATTTCCTCCTCCGTTGGATTCTCTTTCTTCTCAAAAAGAGGATCTTCCTTCAAAATCTTTTCGACTTCTGGAGTGTGCCTGTAATCTGGGAGGTTCTCGCATTCCCAAAAGAACTGGTCCAGCATCTGCTTGTAGGGCCCAGGCTTGTCAGAATTCGGGTCGGTTTTCTTAGGTTTTTTCCTCAAGAGGCCGGAAGCTTTTATGGAAGCGAAATTTGGAGAGTCTGCGGATGTATTGGGGAGGAATGATTTGGTGAGTGAAAGAAGATTGATGGGTTGGATTGGATTTTGAGGTTTCCTGAACCAGCTTTCGAAGGGGTTAAAGTTGATTGAAGCCATTGGGAAAGGTTACAGCCTTTTGAGGATTTTACTTTCCAAAGGGTATAGGGTTTTGGTGAAGTGTCGAAGGAGAGAGAGGGTGCTTTATTGACTGAAATATTGGGAAGTGGAGGAGTTTACGAAGACTGACGCAGTGAGTTTTTCCGAGATAGGGTGAAGGAGGGAGAGCGTGCTTTATTGATAAAAGGTCTTGAGATTTGAGGCCCAAACATTTTATGCTGATCCGATCCAAAATACATAAAATTTTTTGGCCTGAAAATTATAGGCTACTGGACTCTGAACTGGCCCATAAAAGGAATATTTACAATTTTATTTTTTTAAGCAAGAGTTTGTTAATGATTTCATATTATTTTTAAATAATCAAACACGAGATATACAATTATTCATCCAAACACTTGTTTGCTAAGAAGCTGATTTTATTGTAACCCCATTGTACATGATAGAACGGTTTACTTGATGAGAAATTAATCGATATTTTAAACTTTACAAGTGGTATTAAAAATGCAAATTTAACTTGAAACAAAAAATCATACACTACAAGAAAATAATTCAATATTAATGAAATATTAGCGATGGAATAATGATAGACTAGTGACATATATCGGTTTAGGGTAATTTTGTTTTTTGTGACAAATGTTCATTGCTAATTGTCTATTACTATTGATGGACTATAAATCCTGTTGTAAACACCTATTTTTAGGTCAAGTTGAATCTTGATCCACGAATTAGGGTTTGACAGATCTTTAACCCGTTTTCTATTGTTGTGTTTGGATAAAGAATAGATAAAAATAAAAGAATAAAAAATAAATAAAAACAAAGTTTTAGTCCTAACAAAACTCTAAGATAAGAAGGTTTGAATTCTAAAATTGTGATAAAAATGATTTTTTTTTAAAACCAAGATAAATGAATGAATATGATAGGGTTTTTTTTTAAAGGAGATCTTAATTTTTGAATTTTCGATTGATCTTGTGCTAATCCCTATATAAACCATTAATCACACAACCAAAGAGAAAGATAAATAGTAAGAACAAGGAGAGCATGAGAGTAATAAAAAATTTTCAAAAAAGTTTTTAATGGAAAAAAATTATTCAAAGTTTTTTTTTGGAATTGTGAAAGTGGGATTTAGCATTGCTAGAAAGATTTTGGAAGGCAAAAGGTTGATTTGGAAATTTTTATGAGATTTTTTTTTTTTTGAGAATTGTCTGAAGATTTTAGAATCTGATTAAATTTTTCAACAAAAATTCAAACTTTTCAGTAGTTTTCCAGCGATAAACTTAGTTTTCGGCATCATTACCAGACTTTGGTGGTCTTTTCTAAAAACTGGTGGCTTTTTAACAAATTTACCTAGTTTTCGATGTTAAAGTTCTAGAAACCGGTGGAAGCTTATCCAATTCTTCATTTTCTAAAGAGAGAGATGGAGAAAAGAGGAAGAGGAAAGAGAAAGTAAGGAAAGTTTGAGAAAAAAATTAAAATATAAGGGTTTTATATTGCACGAGAATGACGTCGTTTTGGGTTTAAAATGAACCACGACTCACATGTTTTCCATTTTAAAAGCTTGACCCATTTCACTTGACCAGACAAACTGCACTAATGTTAAGCCAATTGAGCCACTAAGTCAAGTTTGATCTGCATCCCTCCAGCCAGTTTATTCTTTTGCAACCGAGCCACTTTTCATTAGCCAAGTTGAGCCAAGGTTTTTATTCATTTATTTATTTGCTTATTTACTTATGTATTGGTTAAATTGATATTATTTATTTATTTATTTTGTGAATAAATATTCATTTAATTTCCAATGATTTTTTTTAAATAGCAATAATAAAATTTCAAAAAAGAGATTTTTTTTTAGGAAATGTTGAAATATCAATTTTCCTTGAAAATGAAGATTTTAAAAAATGGATTTAAGAAAAGTTGAAGTATTAATTTCCTTAAAAATGAAAATTTAAAAAAATGTTTTGAGGAAAAATTGAAAATATCAATTTTTCGTAGAAATAAAAAAATTTAAAAAATATACTTCAAAAGAAATGTTTTTAAAGAAAAGTTGAAAGTATCAATTTTTCTTAAATAAAAAAATTTTAAAAAAAGTTGAAAGTATCAATTTTCTTTAGAAAATAAAAATTTTTCAAAAATGTATTTCAAAAGAAACGTTTTAAGGAAAAGTTAAAAATATCAATTTTTCTTAAATAAAAAAAAGAAAAGAGGTTTTAAGGAAAAGTTAAAGTATCAATTTTTCTTAAATAAAAATCTTCCTAATTAAAAAAAAAGTATTTGGGAAAAAGTTGAAGGCATTAATTTTTCCTTAGATAAAGGCATTAATTTTTTTAAAAAAATGAAATAAGAAAAGAAATCTTAGGAAAAAGTTGAAGTATTTCCTTGAAAATTTTTTAAATGTTAAACAATCCGACAGCGAAGTCTTTGTAAGAGAAACAATAGTTTTCTTATATACTTTTGAGGTGAGGGAGTTTTCTTAATTTTCTACCAAAAGTATTGGAGTTAATTAAGAACAATTTTCAATAATTAATTATCTGGTAAGATTTTTTTAGGCTTAATGGATAATACGAAATTAAGCTAGTACCATCCTTTGATGGGTGTTGTGAGGGTGCTATAACTTTCTTTACATGTAATCGTACTCCTGAATCTAGTTTTAATTTTGTAAATATTGAATCTACCTTTTAAAGATACTTGAGTCAAACTTATGATTTCTTTTTAAAATAAGACAAATTCAGTTAAATGGCTAATCACACCTAAACAAAAAAGATTGGTGATTACTTTTTTACTCAAGTCTAGCAAATTTTTTATGTCACTTATTCTGCTAAAAGTATTGGAGTAATTAAGAATAATTTTTAATAATTAATTATCTGTTAAGATATCAATTTGAGAGTCAAACTAGCAAATAAATTTGTGTTATCCAAAAGCTTAATAAAATTGGATTTTTTTTATAAAGATTTTTATTTATTCACTTATTCTATTTATTTATTTTGCTTACTATGTCATTTATATGCATGTGCATAATATGAACTCTATACCCGAGCTTTATCCCTCTAGAAGGGAGTAAAGTACTTATGCTTTTGTGAGGTTTTAATGCCTTCGCAGTGGCTAGCGAAATACTCCCACTCAAATTGAACCTTTTCCACTTATAACCTGTAATTGGTGAGAATTGAGGTGCCTTATTAGTCTATGATGAATAATGATATAAGGAGCAATTTGACAACCATTAGATTTTTAACCTTGAACCACATATAATGAACCTTAGAAAAGCTTAACCTATAGGTAAAGCCTTCCTTATAAAATTGACCAAAAGTTTAGGATTCATTATTTTTATTGTGTATGATATTCTAATTCATTTATTTTATTTTATTTTTCCTTATTCAGTTTGCTAACCAATATTTTCTTTTATCCAATTTGCATGATTTACACTCATATCATAAAGTTACATAAGGAATATTTTCTTGAAAAGATAGTCTTTAATAAAGAGTTTTTCATAGAGTTCACAGAACGACTAGTTTGCTCTTCATCTATATTAGCTCCCTACAAGTCACTGAATAAGGTAAAAGCTTAGTCATGAAAGATCCAACAAAAGGAGAGAGATTGTCTACTAGTTGACCATGCTCTACATTGCTAACAAGATATCTATTCTTCTTAAACAGAATAATCTAAAAGACTTAATTGATGTATGGAAAAAGATAAGCCTATCAAGACAAAGGATTTTAGCTAGAAACATGGACACATATCACACCTTCTTACGGTGAATGTTGAGAATCAATTAATTAGAGCTACAATTCAATTTTGGGATCCTTTATACAAGTGTTTCATTTTTAATAAGGTTGATATGAAACCAAACATTGAAAAATATTCAACTTTGCTGGGTTTGCACCTAAAGGCCTCTGATAGATATATGTCAGGAAACATAAGTCAAGATTTCATAAGAATTTGGCAAATCTTATGAGTGTAAACAAGGAGACTGTAGATTCGTATACAAAGAGAAAACAATGGCAAATATGCTTGCCATAGAAGTTTTTTCATGATTTCTTAGTGCAACACTCAAATTAGAGGTAAGGGTTAGATGTGTTTACCTTAACCATATATGGAATGTTTTTTTTTTTTCGAAGGTTTTGGCCTACATTGAGATAGCAGTGATTGACTTCTTTGAAAGTGTGGTAACTGGCTACAACCCTTAATGATAATATTGGTAGAGACTATTAGATCATTGAGTTATTGTCGCCAGAACGGAAGGCATTTCACAGGTTATATATAGCTATTGTATCTATGGATGAAACTCACTTTGAGTGTAAGAAAGTGCATTCTCGAAGCTTTATTTCAATAATTGAGCTCTAATTAAATAATTTTATGAAAGCAAGTGGCCAGAGCAAAAGTTTAAAAAAGAGTGGGTGCTTTTTCTTACAAAGACTGACGAGTATTGAGGTAAAATAGTTGGTCCCATGGATAAATCAAAAACCCATGTTACATTAGTATAAAGAGGAGATAGTGGTTCCACTTTTGGGTCTATGAAAAGCAACAAGTTATGCACCACTTATAGTGAGTAGACAGTTTAGGGTAAAGCAGTTCGTTTCCATGACATATAAATTTCATCAATAAGATTTTTCTTACAATGAGTCGAAGGCATTTCAGAAGATTAAAGATATGATTAAAGCATAGAAAAATCTCTAAAAGGTTAATCCTGGAACTTTCACCGATAAAGTCACTCATGGGTACTTGGTTGGAAAGCAAGATAAGAAAAAGAATTTGTATTCACTCCTAAAGACTTTCAACAACCATTGGATGAAAGCTTAAAGAAATGCCATTGAATTAAAGCTTGTGAAAAAGGAGTTTGAGGCTAAAAGAGATAAGCTAAAGTAAGAGATCCAAAAACTTTAAGAGAAGAAAGATGAATGGAAGGATAGAGTTGAAAAATAAGAAGTTAAGTTTGAAAGGTTGCTAGAGAGCGCGACACAATTGTTAAAGACCTATCAGAGTTGCACTAAGAACATAAGAGGTTATGTGTGAAGGTAAAAGTCAAGAAAATAACAATTGTTAAGTTGACTGATGAGAACAAGTGATTGAAGTAGAAATATGCTGAGTTGAAGGAAGAAAGTACCTAAATGCAAACAAAAAATAACATGCTAAATAGTTACAAAAACAAGTTGAGGCAAAGACTGAATGAACAAGAAGACTACATTGCTGTATTGGTTAGA